GGGACTCCAGGATCATGACCTGAGCCGAAGGCAGTCGCTTAACCAACTGAGCCACCCAGGCGCCCCTTTTATTTTTTTTTAATGGGGAAACTTAAAAATGGTGTAAGGCTCAAAAGGCATAGTTGTATAAGTGAAAAATCCTTTTCCTACATCCCCCCCCCACCAAATTTTTTATAGAGGCAACCACTTTATGCACCCTTCCAGAGATTTTTCTGTTTGTATCCAAGAGAATACAAACGCAGAGTTTTTCTTTTTAAGAATAATGGCAGCCTCCTTTGTAAACACATCTGCACATTACTTTTATTACTTAACCATATATCATGAAGATCATTCCATATTAGTAAAGTGCCTACTCATTGTTTTTTACAACTGCATAATATCCTGTGGTTTGTACTTTATTTAGCTAGTTCACTATGGATGGACTTTTGGATTTCCAGTCTTTTGTTGCAATGAATAGTCTGAAACTTTTTTTTTTTTTCCTCTCACATGTAAGTATATATGTAGGGTAAATTCCGAGAACTGGAATCTCTTACTAGAGGGTGTGTGCATTTTTATGATGGATATTGCCAAACTGGCCTTCATAGAGAGGTTGGACCAACTTATTTTCCTATCAGCAAGATAGAGAACTGTAGGAGCTGCCTGATGCTGAAGCATGTCCTGGACCAACTGCCCTTTCAATCATCACTGTTTGTTCAGTAACTTAGCATAGCGGTACCAGCTGAGCTGCATCCCCAGGAAGAGGGGTGCTTGCCATTCGTGGAGCCAGAGAGGAATCTGCATCTTCCTGAACAGCAGCCACGCCCACCAAAATCTCAGCTGGAGGAGAAACTCTTTCTCCACCAACTGCTCCAGTCCCAGACTTCTGAGGCTGGAGCTGCCTGATCAGTGAGAGTCCCTTTAAGGAGACCAATACACTTAGCAAGTAAAATTTTGGCTGCAGCCCGTCTGATGGAATGGAGGAACACTGACAATTGAGTCAGGGTACTTAGATGGCAGGGTGTCCCATGGATGATCAACCACACAGCCTTTTACAGGATGGTTATGTTAGCAAGTTACAGTTAACACATGGAGGAAGACAGAAAAGAGGTAGGATGTGACTTTCTAATAAGCATTAATGAATGAGTGAGAGCATTAATTAACATTGCTTATGTTGTGAAAGCTGAGCACCAAGACTAGGACCACATGGTTTTGTACATGTTCATTTTTCAATCTGGTAAACGTTTATTACAGTTTTAGTGATTCTGTAAAATGGTAATGGATTTCCCCTGATTTCCATCCCACAGCCACTACTCCAGTTATAAACCAAAGCCTGGCACCTAGATCCTCTGTTGTAGCTGGTGCTACTTTAGAGTTCCATCTCCCATTTTCCTCCTTCCCATGTGGGCTCTGACTGAGCTCAGTAGATTAGTTGAGACTCTGGTCAAATAACACAAATCATTTGGGGGCAATTTAAGTCTCAAAGTGGGGGTGTTATTAGAGGGATATTGGGGTATCCTGTAATTCATAGGCTGCAACACATTCTAACAGCAGACTGGAACTAGGACCTGAAGCACTTGAGGAAACCCAGGCAGCTTTCTCTCCATCTCTCACCTGTGCTTTTTATGTTTTGTTTTTTTTTTTAACACCTTGTAGCAAATTGCAGTTACCATCAGCTCCAGATTTTATATATATTGTTTCCATCACCCAGAAAAAAGATACTGTCTTCTCTTTCTTACTTCCTATCTTAAAATCCTAGGAAAGTTCTCTTATTGGCCCAGCCAGGTCAGGTGCCCACCTCTAGGTAGGCAGAGAACTTCTGTGGGAACCATGTGGATGGTGTGAATTGGGTGGGGGGTGTCTGGAGGGGCAAGAGAGCAGAAAGCGTTACTGTTCATAGAATTCCAGATCCTAACTCACTTTTTGACAACAGCTCATAGGATCAGAATTTTAGAACTGGACAGGGTCTAGGAATTCACTTATTTAGAACTCCTCGAGGCACCTGGGTGGCTCAGATGGTTAAGCATCTGCCTTCGGCTCAGGTCATGATTCCAGGGTCCTGGGAT